GAGCTGGAAGTGCTGAGAGCCGTGAGGAGGTCGGGTGCACCTCAGCCTCCTCATGTGCAGCTTCACAGCACACAGCTCCAGTTGTTCACAGATGGAACCTGTGTGTGTGTTATCGTGCCATGGCACTTACTCATGATGGTCCTGTCTCAGCCACTGCCAGCTCCGAGTGAGCCCCGGGCCCTGAGAGATGGGCTGGGGCTGGTCTGGAGTCTCTAACCCTGTGTCCCTCCTTGTCTGTTCCAGAGCCCAAGGCAGTGTTTGCCAAGGATCAGCCTGTGCACAGTGAGGTGAAGGCTGAGGCGGGAACTAATGCCACACTGAGCTGCAAGGTGGCCCAGGCCCAGACGGAGGTGACGTGGTACAAGGATGGGAAAAAGCTGATCTCAAGCTCGAAGGTGCATTTCGAGGCCACAGGCTGCACGCGGCGGCTGGTGGTGCAGAAGCCAGAGAAGGTGGATGCTGGGGAGTACAGCTGCGAGGCCGGGGGCCGCAGGGTCTCCTTCCACCTGGATGTCACAGGTGGGTGACAAGTTGAGTTGAAGAATGGGGGAAACCTGAGCTTCGGGTGTGAAGCTCCAAGGGCACATTTAGGCAGCCCAGTGCGCTGTGAGGCTCTAGAATCCCCTCTCTTCATTGCCTAACATCTGTGTCCCCAGCTCCATCCAGGAGCTCCCAGGCTCATGTTGTTGTGTCATGAGACCAGAGCCAGCCACGGGCTGAGCTGACTTCCGTGTGCGTCCTGGTGAGGGCTAGACTGGGGTGATGGGGACAGTGTGGTGACATTGGCTGGTGAATGTGAGGTGTGATGTGATCTAATACCCCTTTGTGAGGTGTTGGGGTATCTGGAAAGAGGCCGTCCAGTGACTGGAGAGCATGTCCTGCAGGTGCAGGGCTCCCCTCTGCCTGCGTGGTCCCTACTACCTGGGCCCTGAAGCTCCGCAAGCCTGTGCTTGGCCTATTGGTGATCACCATCTGTCCATCTGTCCTTCCCTCCTCATGTCCTTCTCCCACCCTGTCACTGAGTCTGGGGACAGGAGGCCACACACAGCCACCTCTTTCCTGTTGGCCCCACCTGGCAGTCAGCTCTCTTCTGTGAGGCCCATCCCTGGCAGTTGGCTCTGTCCTGACTGGCCCACATCGACACAGCTCTCTCCCAGTTGGTCCACATTGGCACTCAGCTCTCTACTGATTGTCCTACGCTGGCACCCAACTGTCTCCTGATTGGCTCACGCCTGGTACTCAGCTCTCTCCCAATTGGTTCACCTAGTACTCAGCTCTGTCTTGATTGATCCATCCCTGGTACTCAGCTTTGTCCTGATTAGCCCACACTGACACTCAGCTCCCTCTCAATTGGTCCACCCTGGCACTCAGTTCTCTTGCACTTTCTCTGTAGCCTTGGCCAACACTGATGCAGGTTTCTGGTTTGGTGCTCAAGGTGGGCACATCTTTCCAGGCTTCGCCTCCTGTCCTGCTCTCTGTAGCCCCTGGGTGGTGGGAAGAGGTGGGAAGTGGGAACTGCCTGGGAGGCCTGGGAGACCTGAGGCAGGGGAGGGGCCAAGTCTGGTCCCCAAACGACAGGACAGGGGCATTATCAGGAGACAGGGCCTGGCTGTGGTGGCTTCCTGGCCTGTGACAGCACGTGCACCCACAAACCTCAGAGCGGAGCTGGAAGTGCTGAGAGCCGTGAGGAGGTCGGGTGCACCTCAGCCTCCTCATGTGCAGCTTCACAGCACACAGCTCCAGTTGTTCACAGATGGAACCTGTGTGTGTGTTATCGTGCCATGGCACTTACTCATGATGGTCCTGTCTCAGCCACTGCCAGCTCCGAGTGAGCCCCGGGCCCTGAGAGATGGGCTGGGGCTGGTCTGGAGTCTCTAACCCTGTGTCCCTCCTTGTCTGTT